TCGCATTACTCAGCAAACGAAACCCAAACATTTCTTGCCCAAAACATTCATTGGATTGGATATTTGTGATTTTAGGGTTTAAGATTCAGATTCTCAGTTATAGTATTATGGCATCAAAAGAAGAGTCAGGGAAGCTAGAGTGGAGGATCAGTGTTGACAATGGCACAACCGAGATTTTGGTTCCAAAATCAGGACCTAGTAAAAGAATCTTTCTTTGGCTAAAAGGTTTAGTCATGAATGTTATCGTGGAGCGTATCGCAAAGTTTATGAGGAACGCTTGGAGGATTGGGGCAGATGATCCGGCAAAAGTGGTCCACTGTCTAAAAGTAGGACTTGCCCTTTCATTAGTCTCAATCTTCTATTACATGAGACCTTTGTATGATGGAGTTGGAGGAAATGCTATGTGGGCTATCATGACGGTTGTAGTCGTCTTCGAGTCCAATGTTGGTATGTATAAACAAAATCCTTATTCAAAATAAAATTTCTTCTTACTAAATGAGTGCAATTATATTGACCTATAAATGTCTATGCATCTCCTCCATGTACAACAGGAGCAACATTCTCCAAATGTGTGAATAGAGTGGTGGCAACTATATTAGCTGGATCACTAGGCATTGCTGTTCACTGGGTTGCAACTCAATCAGGAAAAGCTGAGATTTTTGTGATTGGATGCTCTGTTTTTCTCTTTGGTAATTGTCAAAACCCTAAAAAGGATCAGTCTTTCTTCACTTGCAAGTAACCAAGAAAGAATCAATCTTTATTAACTTTTTTTTGTGGGTTTGATTCTTGCAGCTTTCGCAGCTACTTACTCGCGGTTTGTGCCGTCATTCAAAGCCAGGTTCGACTATGGAGCGATGATCTTTATCCTCACATTTAGCCTTGTCTCAGTAGGTGGTTACCGAGTAGATAAGCTGGTTGATATGGCTCAGCAAAGAGTATCAACTATTGCTATTGGAACATCGATTTGCATTTTCATTACTGTCTTCTTCTGTCCCATATGGGCAGGAACTCAGCTTCACCGCCTTGTTCAACGTAATTTTGTAAAACTTGCCGACTCATTAGACGGTAAGGGTATAAGAGAATAGAATACTTGTCACGCAAGGTTCTCTCATTAACTATACGAGCTGGTTATCATTACAACTGCAGGCTGTGTAGCAGAGTACTTGAAGAAGAAAGACGTTGAGAAGAATGGGATTGAAGATGAAGAAACTAACATGAAGTTGCAAGGATTCAAATGTGTGCTAAACTCTAAGGGAACAGAGGAATCCATGGTAACATGAATATTTTATTTGCATTTTTTGTTTTGTTTTGCAGCCTCTTATAACGCTCTTATATTTTTAATCTCTCAGGCGAATTTAGCTAGATGGGAACCTGCACATGGAAGCTTTAACTTCAGGCACCCATGGCAACAATATGTAAAGATAGGAGCTGCTATGAGGAGATGTGCGTATTGCCTTGAGAATCTTAGTATCTGCATGAACTATGAAGCAGAGGTTACAACACTTTCATATTTAATATAGTTTTGGATATTCTACTATTAAAGGTTTCTGTGAAACTAATACTAGTATGTCTTCTGCTTTTAACAGGCACCAGACCAAGTCAAGAATCACTTCGGAGAAGCTTGTCTGAAACTGAGCTCAGCTTCTTCAAAAATCTTGAGAGAATTAGCGGATATGATGAACAACACGAGAAAATCTTCGAAGATGGATTTCTTGGTGTTTGATATGAACTCAGCAGTACAAGAGCTTCAAGAGACTTTAAAGACTGTTCCAGTTAGAACCAACAATGCCAAAGAAGATGGAACCATGACGATGAGCCTACATGAAGTACTTCCTGTTGCCACTTTGGTTTCGTTGTTGATTGAAAACGCAGCTAGAATCCAAACAACGGTCGAAGCAGTCGATGAACTGGCAAACCTGGCGGATTTTAAGCAAGATTCAAAAAAGAAAACGGGAGACACCAACGTTAAACAACCACCACTAAGTTCATAAGTTGCTTTAAATCACACATGGAAAACTCAACAGACATGAAGATTTTAAACCGGAGTTTTCATGTATATATATATATAAGCCTTTTAGTATATGAGTTTCCTTTGTTCCCTAACCGATGTTTTCTCCGGCATGGTTTTTAAAGGCAACAAAACAAGTATCTAAACTAAATCTTATTATAGATCATAAAAAAAAAAACTAAAAATCTTGATAATGTTGGAATCCATGATCCTTATTCCTTACAGTGCAACCATATCCCCTAACATTCTCAAAATCTTTTAAAAAATATGTCATGGTATCAATCTAACTGTGACATATGCACTTTCTATTACTAAAATTTCCATTATTAAAATTTCTATTTTTGGCAAATATTTTTAAATTGGTCATGGCTAATAAATTTTATCATCATTAAACTAAATTTTCTATATAAATATTTATATTTGACAAGATTTTTGAAATATATTATATTTGCGAAATGATTTGTATATGTGTCATCACCACATCCATTCTCAAAAAAAAAAAACAATGACATGTTTTAAAAAATATGACATGACATCAACCTAATTGTGACATACACTTTCCATTATTAAAATTTCTAATTGTTGGCAAAGTTTTTTAATTGATAATGACCAATAACTTTTATATCATTGTTAAAGTAATTTTCTATATAGACATTTATATTTGGCAAGACTTTTGAAATATATTATTAATAACTAATCATTCATATATCAGCATTAAAATAAATAAATATATATATATATATATATATCAAATTATAAAAATAAACTAAGTATAATTACAAATATTTCCATCAACTTATATATCATATTTTGTATAAGAATATATATATATATATGTATATCATCAAAATCAAAAAACTAAAGCAATACTAATCAAATAAAAATTTGTGATACTTAAAAGATTACTTTATTTAAATGATTAAATTTTAATTAAATTTATGAGTTTATTAGGTTAATTAACATATTAGTTGTTATCAGTTTAACATATTTTAACAAAAAAAAAACAAAACTCCAAAATTTAAGAGAATTATATATTTAAATAAAATATATTGTAAAATAAGGAATAAATAATAGATTTAATGAAAATAAAACAAGTTTAATGTAAATACAAAATTATTTTAAAAATATAATTATAAATTTATTAAATTTTAAATAAAATCAAACTGAAATAGTTAAATAAAATAAAAATTATAAAAATGTATTTATGGTTTTTTCCAATCAGTAAATTTAAAACATAAACAATGTTAAAGTATAAACTAAATTTAAAATTATTATTTATGCGCATAAAACAGAAAAAAATACTAGTCAAACAAGAAATGAGATGAAAACTGAACATTGGGCCGGTTTTATTTGCATGATAGAATTTGTTGTGTCAAAAGGGTTTCACCTTTTCTAGGTTTAGATTTTTTAAGTCCCTGCCTATATGCGGGTTTCCTGTTTGGAGACATGGAGAGCAAAGCTCCGGAGAAGCAATGCCTGTTTTAAAAGGAGCCAATGAAAGAGTCGTAGTCATGGATTATTCACTAGGAAGAGAGCGAGACTGCTTTGAACTGTTTAGCCTGCAAACACCCTAGTAAGTAATTTATTTTGTTGGAGTTTAGAAAGTTTTATATGGGCCTAATTGTCATAAAAGGCCCACAGATATAAACCTCATTTGGGTCAATTTCAAGTTGAACAATATTTTTACGTAAATCGCTATTTGTTTTTTTTTTTTCCTCACAGTTGGGAACGAACGATTCTTCTCCGGCGCCTCTCCTTTGTCCTCGCTTCGTCGTCTGTGAATCGTTTCAGGTAAATCACTCTTCTCGAATCGATGCTTCTTGTGCGATTAAAACCGATTCTCCTAGATATCCATCCGATGGATTTATTATTGTGTATTCCTCTGGGCTTCTTTTTTCTTGAGATCTATAACAATAGATCTGTCTCTGCTCCGTTCCGTTGTTGGTAGTAATGATTGTCATAGATCGGACCGTATCGTTAGAATCCTCCGTTTTAGGCATAGTTTGATTCATGTTATAGTTTGAGTCATTTTGTGTGCTTCATAATGATTTGATTTAGGTTTGGTCTCTCTGTCTTATCATGATGAGATGGTAATGTTTGATTGTTTTCAGGTTAAGAAGAAATGTCACGAGCCACGTACATAGTTGGTGCCCTTGCGGGATCTGCAGTTGTAGCCTACATCTGTGACAAAGTCATTTCTGATAATAAGATTTTCGGAGGCAAGTTTTTAATATTCGGACATTAACCAAAAACAAAAGTTCATAAGCTTTTGGTTACTGATTATATATATTTTATGAAAAAAAATTCAGGAAGTACGCCGGGAACTATAACTAACAAGGCATGGGGGGTTGCGACTGAAGAGAGGCTCCAAGCATGGCCTAGAACCGCTGGTCCTCCCGTTGTCATGAACCCTATCAGTCGCCAGAACTTCATCGTCAAGTCCCGCCCTGAATAACTCTCATTCGTTATGGATTTTGATTCATTGCGATATTTGGCTTTTGATTTTGGCTTCTTTTTTTTTCCTTTGATTTGAGACTCGGCTATTTTCTCTAGCTGGTCTGTAGTAATAATTTGTGGGGATGGAGGATACACATTGTTCAGTCCTAGATGCATTGCTTTATGTAATGTTGTTGATTTTGACGATTAAATGAAATCAAGCCAACAAGACTTGGCAGCTACTATTTCTCTTTAGTCAGAGAAGTTTGGGATATTCCTTTATCAAGTTTGGAACTTTTTCTACTTTGTTGATTCTTTGTGTTGGTATTGGTTTCATCCAGATAGTTCTTTCTAGGTATTAACAATTATTGATACTAGTCCCCTGCATATTTGGGTCTTTGCTTTGGTCGATTTTTTAGTTTTAGAGCCTTATCGATATATCTATGAAGTTTGGGTATAGGATCGGGTTGATTCTATATGTTTTATATATATCTATAATCTAATGTATATTCTGAAGTTTTTGGGTACATTGACATGTAACTTGGGAAAATAACAAAAAAAAAAAAAAAAAAAGTTGAAATTAATCCATTTTCAATCTCTGAATTTTAAAATTTATAAATGAAGGATCTTACAAACAGAATTTATTACAAATAAAATATTAAATGAAAATATTCCAAATCCTGGAAATTCAGATTTTTAAATCAGAATTAGATCGGTTTTCAGATCAGTTTTCAACAAATTTTCGATAAAATTTCGTTAGCTTTTTCCTTGCCACTACAATATCTATTATATTAAAAAAGAAGTCATGACTCATTTCATGTGTGATATTTTAGTTTGGACCATCTTTAGAGTTTTATAAAATTTTACATAACATTATAATATCTTTTCATATCTTTAATTTTTGTTTGAAATACAAATAAATAGTTTTAAGAAAATTCTAACAAAATCTTTTAAAAATCTTTTAGAATCTTTTTCAAGATATAGTTTCAAAAATTATTTGATTAAAATTTTAATTATCATAAAATATAATTAAAAATTTTATTCATTTTTAATTTATAAACAAAAAATTTAAATTATGTAAAATACTTTTACAATATCCCAAAATTTTTTTTACGTATTATGTAGGTCCAACTTAATTAATTTTTACATAGATTTCAAATTTAGAAATAATACAAAATATATAAATTAGAAATCTTACATAGTAATATTTTTAAAAATTATTACAAAAATACAAATTTATAACTTTTATATTAATAATATTATAAGTCACATAAAAATGATTATAAAATTGGATAGCATAAAGAATCAAATTATACTTATTTATTGATAAATTTTATTATATAATTTCAAATATTTTCATATTCAAATACCCGCACGGTTGTGCGGGTCGAAATCTAGTATCTATATATATAAAGTATAGTTGATTCCCTCTAGGAAGTGCCATGTCACTAAATAGTTTAAGGAGAGTCAAACACGTGTCCTAACTAAAACAATTTTCTCATGCTTCAACGAAAATGGTATTTGCTGGGGTTTTATTGTTGTTCCAAAAATATCTAACATCATTTAAAGTTGGGTTTAGCACATATTTGTGATTGGGCTTTTATAAATACAAACACAACATCTATTAAAATAAGTCTTTAAACTAATGTTCTACTAACCAGCCAAAACACTTCGTAAGATTGAAATCACACTCCTTCCTTTGAACCTGTTTTTGAAAATCGTAGAGACCAAGAAGGGTGATACTGATTTTGAAAGTACTGCAAACCAGACAATGGTGACAAGCAGAAGTACGTAGAGCAGATGCGTCTCGATTCTAAAGATTCCATTTTTCTACTTTTTTTTCTTTTGTGGTTGATTATGAGAGACCACACTATTTAAAGTTCATCATACGGTATCGTTTTTTTTGGACAAAATAATTTATTAATCTTATATTCAAATTGGAATCAAAATTTTTGTTTAATGGGAACAAAACAAATTCAGTGTTTTGTACGTATAAAGGGGAATTCTATAGTTGTTAAAAAAAAAAGGAGAATTCTATTCTTTCTCTTTGAGCCACCTCATCTATCTTCTCTAGGAGCGAATCTATCTTCTCTAGGAGCGAACCACGTCAGCAGTGAGAAAACCACTTTGGTTTATCGGGTTGTGCAAGTAAACATCTACTATGAGCTTCCTGAAAACTTATAAAATGTGTATGATATAGAAATAACAAAAGCATATAGGTATGGGACATTAAGCCCACACGTATGAAATGTAGTCGTGTGCGATGTTTCCCATCACCATTTACATTCGTAAACCCTAGCCGTATCAACGGTGTGAAAGATCAACAGTGTAGAAAGATATAGAGCTCTGGTCTATTTATCAAAAAGCCCTTCAGTTTTGTTGTGTCGCATCGATATCGCTCGAGATATACGTCTGAAAGAACTCTCGACGTTACGATTTTCTTTTCCACCTTCAGGGGACAATTTCGCAAATGATATTAATGATGAGAAGTAATCAAAGCAGCTCACTACTTGGTAATCCTTCAACTTCCTATCCATCAGTTGCAATTGCATTCGGTATATATATGCACCTCACGAAACCCTCAAAATCTACTCCTTCCACAATCTTCTTCACATCCTCTTTTATCTTCTTTCTCCGCCAGAAGCGATTATTTCTAATTTTAAGAGACATTTTAATTGAGTTTTCTTACTTTAGATCATATTTTCATCCCTTTTGGCTATTGGGTTCTAGAATTTGTTTCGTTTTTGGCAGTAAAAACGTTGCCGCCTAGACGATCAAGAGCTGTCGCAGAAGCTTCCTGATTCCAGCAACTCAAACGCCGTTGAACAACACAAAACCTGTTTCACCCAATTCAAAAGTGAGAAATATTTGCAAGTTATAGAATTTGTATCTCTGCTTTAGTTTTCTGAAATTGTCTTTTTAGTTTTGATCCCAAAAAAAGAAGAAAAATTGTAACAATGGAATTGAATCATCCACTGGTCCTTTTCCTTTTTTTTACTGGATTCGTTTGGTAAGAATCTAATGGATAGGATCTCGGCAAACCCAACCCCGGTTCCTGCACACTACTTCGTCCGCCTCTTCCATGGCGTCTCAGCCGTCTTCTGTAGCTGCACCTGGCCCATTTACACTACACAATGTCGTCTGGAGAGAATCAAATCAAAGAGAGCCATGTTGATGCAGATCCACAGCAACATTATAGGTGATGCCAAATCTGCACTTAATCCTCTAAAGTCCAATTTCATGCTGCAAATTATGAGACATAGAAAGAAGGTGGTGCTTCCTTTTCTCTTTGTTTATACACTTGGATATGTAACATAAGGAATTAAAAATGCTTCTCTGCTGTTGTTATATGTTATCAGAAAAGACAGAACTATGAGCAAGTAGGACCAAGATCCATGCATTAGCTGTTGTTCTTCTTTGATTTAGTTGAAGACAGTTCTGTATGTTGGAAATGACCTTCATCAGCGAGTTTTATATACACAACTTGCAAGGAGTATTCACTAATTAGCTGACACCTTGGATCATGTTAAGTTTTTGCTCTTATTCTCTACCTTTTAACCACTCTTCTTATTCTATGTCTTTGTACCATTTTCTGGTGAAAATTGTATATGAATCTAGCTGTTCATTAAAAGGAATTATTTGTATTTTGAGGGTTTCCTGAATCTGATGACCTTTATAATCTTTTTATGTGCCTGACGTTGGATGTAACATGCACATAGAATTCTACAAAAAAAAACATGCACATAGAAATATATTTTAAAAATATATAATAAAATAAATAATTAAAATATTATAAAAATCTATGAACGTTAATACTATTTTTATTTAAAATAAATCAAATATTAAAATACTTTTTTATTCTTAATTTATTCATCCCGCCCGTAGGACGGGTTTCCCCTAGTTATTTAAAAAGGAAAAATTGTAGCCACTCCATTCCGTCCCATTAAAATGTAAAACCTCATGAATAGTCTAATGGTTTTAAAATTACAGATAACGAAACCTTCTGACTTAGAAAGCAGGTTACCCTTAAATCGCTTCAGACAGTCAACCTCACATGGACGGCGACAGAATCAAACAGTTCATCCTCCGAACCAAGCAATCTCCTGATCCCTCATAAAATCTCCCAACCGTGGCTTCCAATATTCTACGACGCTTGTTCCCGGCTCGGACACGAAGACCCGCCCCAATCATCCCATTGACCCGGCTGGAAATGAACCTTTTCCGGTTCTGCTCCGGTCTGAAAGTCCTCGGCTACTTTATGATCCTTCTCGTCTTCGCCGTCGTCGCCGTTTCTTACTACGCCGTTGTGGTTAACACATGGTGGCCGGTCTTAATCGAAAGCAGCGACAGAGCTCTCTCAGCTCTCGCCTGCTTAATCATCTCTCTCTTTCATTTCTTGGTAATGTCAAATTCTCCACCTTTAAAGATCATCTTCTTGCTCAAGTTTCTTTTCTTCGAGATTTTAATCATTATAAAGTTTTTAAACTTTTTGTTTCCCTGAGTTTACATTTTATTAGTGTTAATTAGGTTGCAAATCAGACCTAAACGAAACATTTTTTTAATTACTGCTTAACGATTTCTTGAACATTCTGATTTACAAATATTATTCTGATGAGATTATGTTTTGTTTTGGAATTTGTATCATTATAAAGTTTCAAACTTTTTGTTTCCCTGAGTTTACATTTTATTATTGTTCTGAAATTAGGTTGCAAATCAGACGTAAACGAAACTCTTTTTTTTTATTTACTGCCTTGGCGATTTTTTGAATATTCTGATTTACAAATATGATTCTGATGAGATTATGGTTGGTTGGTACTTTGCAGCTGGTAATGCTGTTGTGGAGCTATTTCACTGTGGTTTTTACGGATCCAGGTTCTGTTCCTGAGCATTTTAGAAGAGAGCTTGGGGGTGACAGTTTGGAGGCTGGTACTTCGACAGATCAAGGAGCTTTTGGTTCTTTAGGTTACTGTCCGAAATGCCGGAATGTTAAGCCGCCTCGTTGCCATCACTGTTCTGTGTGTAAGAAGAAATTTGATTTTTCTTATGCTCAATGTTCAAGAAAAATATAATTGGTAGTTAGGTGCTTTATATGGGATTATCTTTAGGCCGATTTTTTAGTTTAGGTCCGGTTTATCGCCGCCTAGGCCGGTTGTTAGAACACTGCTTATGCTAAATGTATGGATGATAATCTTATATAAAGATAGATTTACTGGGTTTGTGTGTTCTTATGCAGGTCAACGATGTGTTCTGAAGATGGATCATCACTGTGTTTGGATTGTGAACTGTGTTGGAGCGCGCAATTACAAGTTTTTCCTTCTCTTTCTGGTAAAAACCTCTTTTCAATGTTTGGTGTATGTTGTGTGCTTTACTACTCGATGTTTTGCTGAATTCTTTATGTTTTTTTTTGTTTTGGAGTTTTATACTTTTCTGGAGACAATGTTGGATGTTGTGGTCTTGCTTCCTAGTTTCATCAAGTTCTTCAGCCAAGCTATAAAGCATTCCTCTTCTCCCGGTAGACTGGGCTCCCTCGTTCTGGCTTTCGGTGAGTGTAAACCATTCCTTGTTTGTCTGAGAAAGTGCTTAGCTTTCCTTCTCTCATTTTCTGTCTTACTGTTTCTTACAGATTATATCCCCTTGATGCAGTTCTTAACGTAGCATTCGTTCTCAGCCTTCTATGTTTCGTAGTCATGCATATCTCACTTCTCTCAACCAACACTACTTCAGTAGAGGTAACTCTAACGTGTTGGCTTCAACAAATGATTCTCTTGTCTGATTCATTGTCTGTCTTTTAGGTTCATGAGAAGAACGGAGATGTCAGATGGAAATATGATTTGGGAAAGAAGAAAAACTTCGAGCAGGTGAGTCTTCTTTTGTTTTCCTTAAAATCTTTCATTAAATTGATAAAAAACTTTTTTCTTGTGAAGGTTTTTGGGAAGAAGAAAGCATTTTGGCTCCTCCCATTGTATTCTAAAGATGATCTCCATAACATAACTTCGCTCCAAGGCCTTGAGTTTCCAACTCGTTCTGACATCGATCCTTGATTGAAACAACAATCAAACATAGTCTTAAAGTTCTCATATTTTCTCTCCAAAATGTAGATTCTCAAAATGTATTTATATTGTTGTGATAATCAGAAGCATGGATTCGAATCATTTGTAAGTTTATTTTTCTTCAAGTGATGAACAAGTTATACATTGTTGTACCAGTAAACAACCAAGGATAAGGACGTTGTGATGGGTAAAGTAACCCGAACCAGCCCTGAAAGCCCTAAACTAGACAACCCGAAATAACCATGTACTAATAGTCTAATAGGATTACTAAAACAAAATCCTATAAGTTTAGGGTAACCTATTTATTTATTTTTTTGGTGTTCGTTGAACTAAATTAATATATTAAACAATTTTAAACTAGAGTTTGATCGCGCGATTTCACCGATTTTGACTTTTACCTTTTTAAAAATTAAATTTTTAATGATATAAAAATGCATAGGTTATTTTGATATTTTTACACCACAAAAAACTTAGCCATGATGACTACGAATTATGACCACAAAAGTGTTGTAGTAATTTTACGTCGAGGTTATGAACCTTTAACAATGAAATAACAAATCGTCTTGTAAATGAGACGTAACTTTGCGACGAATAGAATTCGTCGTAAGAAAGACATAATGTAACGGACTACACATACAATTGGTCGCAAATCAGAGATACTTTTAGGACTATATTACATCGCGCCGCCTATACAGATATGCCAACTAGACGCCGCCTAGACCAATTGTTAGAACACTGCTTATGCTAAATGTACGGATGATAGTCTTATATAAAGATAGCTTTACTGGGTTTGTGTGTTCTTATGTAGATCAAAGATGTGTTCTCAAGTGGATCATCACTGTGTTTGGATTGTTAATTGTGTTGGAGCGCGCAATTACAAGTTTTTCCTTCTCTTTCTGGTACAAAAACCCTCTCAATGTTTGGTGTATGTTGTGTTGTTTACTACTCGATGTTTTGCTGAGTTCTTTATGGTTTTATCGTTTTTTTGTAGTTGTATACTTTTCTGGAGACAATGATGGATGTTGTAGTGTTGCTTCCTAGTTTCATCAAGTTCTTCAGCCAAGCTATAAAGCATTCATCCTTACCGGGTAAACTGACCTCCCTCGTTTTGGCTTTTGGTAAGTGTAAACCATTCTTAGTTTTTTTCCTAGAAAGTGTTTAGCTTTTCTTTTCTCATTTTCCATCTTTATGTTTCTTACAGATTCTATCCCTTTGCTGCAGTTCTTAACTTAGCATTCGTTCTCAGCCTTCTTTGTTTCGTAGTTATGCATATCTCACTTCTCTCAACCAACACTACTTCAGTCGAGGTAACTCTATAATGTTAGATTCAACAAGTTATTCTCTTGTCTGATTCATTGTTTTGTCTTTTAGGTTCATGAGAAGAACAGAGATGTCAGATGGAAATATGATTTGGGAAAGAAGAAAAACTTCGAGCAGGTGAGTCTTCTTTTGTTTTCATTAGAATCTTACGTTAAATTCATTAACTTTTTTGTGAAGGTTTTTGGGAAGAAGAAGGTATTTTGGCTCCTCCCATTGTACTCTAAAGATGATCTACATAACATAACTTCACTCCAAGGCCTCGAGTTTCCAACTCATTCTGACATCAATCCTTGATTGAAACAACAATCAAACATAGTCTGAAAGTTCTCATCGATCCTTGATTGTAACAACAATCAAACATAGTCTGAAAGTCTCCAATGTAGTTTCTCAAAATGTATTTAGGTTATATTGTTGTAATCATCAGAAGTACGGAATCGATTCATTTGTAAGTTTATTTTCGACTGATGAACAAGTTATAAATTGTTGTACCAGTAAACAACTAAGGATATTGTGGAGGTAAAATAACCTGAACCCACCCAGAAAACCCTTAACTAAACAACCCAAAAAAAAACAAACTAGATGCTCCTCTTTTTATTGTCTAGACCAAACTAGATGCTCCGCTCAAGTTAAAAAAAAAATCTATGTAAATGTAATAAATAAACATCACAATAGATATATAAAAGATTATCATATGAATTTAAAAACTGAAAAAGACTTACATATTGATAATTTTTCACAATAGTATCTTCGTCACAATTGCTTACTTATTGATAATTTTTCAATTTTTCACAATTGTAAAACAGAGTAGAGCTCACCAGTGTTGTCACTGCGCAGAATTGTCATCCGTGTCTGGAGATCCTTCACAGAAAAACCATACGGATCAAATTCAATTGAACAAGAATTGTCTCTAGTGAATCTGCGAAAGAGACTAAGTTCTTTATGATAAAAGGAGTAACCAAGACATTTTTAAGAGACAAAGGACGAGAGTTTGTGTGAAAAGAGAAGGAATCAGATGTTTTGATCGGTATGCTTGTACCATTAGCAAAGGTGACAGATTTTCCAGTGCCTAAATTAAATGTGGAATTAAGATTACCTGCCGAGTTGGCTAGATGTGCAGTTGCACCGGAATCCATATACCACTGGTGGTCACTGGGATCGACCAACGTCATCGTATTGAAGGCAGTCGCAAAGTCGACAGTGGGTTCATATTTCTGGTGACTACTGCTCTGTCTCTGAGACTGGTTCTGCGTGACTTGCATAGGAAGGAAGGGTCGGGATCCAAGAAGACCTTGTTGATTCTGTTGAGGATTGTGAATCGAAGGTGGATAATGTTGTTGTGGCCAGACCTGATAACCGTTGGTGTAGAACGGAACATTCCATTGAGGAAACACTGCTCTTGGATGATTGTACGAACCGCGACCCCTGCCTCTGTTTTGTTTGCCTCGGCCTCTGTTGGAGAACTTTTGATGTTGCTGCGGTGTTGTGTTTTTGCGTTCTTGATTCTGGACTAAAGCGTTGAGAATCTTCTCAGAAGAGAAGGAATCTTTGTGGATGAGGCTCCATGAACCTTCCCCAAGTATCCCATTTTCTCTGGTCATGGTTTGGTGCGTCATCTGCGTAAGACAAGTCTCCAGCAAAGAGAACGGCTTGACCTTTAGGGTTAGACATCTAATGGTACAATGTCTCGTTAGAAGCATAGGTTTGTCCAAGATCACCAATAATCCCAAATGTGTAGGGGACATCAGGTCCAACCTTAGGAGGAGTCGTGAAGTTGAATTGTCTAACGGAATATAGGTACCAACCTCATAAATGTACTTAATATCATACTCGAGGCTTTTAATGGTAGCGTGATGAAGAAAACCAGAAGTGTAATCATATAATCTGTTAGAGTACGTGGCACCATGAGATTTCTTCTTTGCCGGCTTCACGTCGCTGCTGTTACTAGCGCTCCAGTAAGTAACAACGTTATTACCAGCTAGGTTTAACGGTGTCACCCACGAGACGATCATGGCACTTCCGTAACGGTCTCCTTGCGTTATATGAACCTGTTCGGGAACATTATGAACAGGTTCTAAAATGCTTCAAAAGCTCACAAATTTTCTTCTATTGATCTCACTCATCTTTTGAAGGCAATAGTTTGTAATTTCTGTGACACTCTTCCAAAATAGTGAATATGTCATATAACTTTAGAGCTCTAGCAAGTATATCATAAGTCAAATTTCTTCATGTTAAAACACCTAAAGATAACTCAGCTCCACTCGTAATCCATGCACTTTGAACACATGCTGCAAATGATTATATCATTGATCCATATGTTTTAAAAAAATTTAACACTCTCGAAAATTTTCCTGAAGACCAACAACCAGTTATATCTCTTCATTCACAATGATATTCAAAATTTGTGCAGAACATTTAATATGGAAGCCTCCCATCAAATAACAACGTGTTACCACTAATCACCTGGATTTGATGCTTAAAGATTGTATGCATACTATCGTTATTATTAGCATTATCCAAAGAGAATAACTTTCACTTCTTCAAACAAAAACAAAAATTTTTATTAGTTACTTCTTCACCTGTATATAGAGGTTTACACTCACAACATGCTAATATATTGTTGTTCAACTTAAAGCTATCACCAATATAGTGAGATGCAATACATATATATCTCATTTTAATGATGGGAGCTGACCATATATATGATGTAAAAGTTACTCAAATTTTTTTTACATGTTCATATCCCAAACCTTTGTATACTCAACATATTTGTTAGGATTCAGAGGCTTAAAGACGTCATTTTGTCTCAACATGAAACCACAACAAACCAAGAAAGAAATTGCTTGAAGTCCAAAATAGAACACTTCAAAAATAGAATTGTAGAAAACAGAGTATGGGGAATTTGAGTAGAGATTAGATAGAAAGAGAATATTGAAGCACACAAAAGATTTAATGAGCTCACTCCCATTAACGAGGGTCACTACATCTCCCCGACACTACAGCTCAAAATCCACTAGAAAGTATAACATGGTTACAAAGATACAAGTGATTCACTAATCATATCACTCATGAACTAACTATAATGTATCTTACTATGTTCTAATGAGAAAACCCAAAGCTAGACTTAAACTTACACGTTTCTCTCACTCTTCTAAGCTAGTTGTGTGGCTCAATATCTCTCTCATGTTTTCAGCTTGTCTTTATAAAGAAGACACCTCCAAACCTAATGCACAAGATGACAAAACACAAAGGCTCCTCTTGTGATCCCAAAGTAACTCAACCCAATTTCAACTTGACTAGGGTTGGACCTTGGTTGCTTTTGATCTTCATTTAATTTGCTTGATCAACAAGTGTTATCATCTACACAATATTATAAAAGTTAATCAAGGTAAATAATGATCTCACTAATCATATTACCATCTACTTTGTGATCAGAAATGAATACAAAAAATCTATATAATAATAGTACACTTTTGAAGCTCCTCAGCGTGTCCACGTCAGCAAGTTTGCGGGTCCCGTGCGTGTTATTAGGGAAAACAAAAACGTATAACATTTTGTAAGATTGAATGTTAATAATGAGTGATGAAATGGCCCAGTGGTGTAAGTTAATGACGAGAAGTTGGTACCGCGAGTGCGCGGGTTCGAAACGTAGTGCTTTGCATGTAATTTTTTTTTTTTAATTTGGAATTCTCGAGATACCTAAAAGCTTAGGAAGATTCAGAATGATTTTTTATGCTGGTTGTTGGGATACAAAATGGCTTAAAGATTTGAAACTTTATGATACCATCTTAGATACTTTTATAAGAAAGGTTATCATGTTCTAACCTCCA